ACTAATATGCATCAAAATTCTTTTTCATATCTGTCTTAATAAAGCACTAGAAGCAATCATAAAAGAACTTCATCTACTAAGTTAAGATTCTGATAAAAAGCGGGATTTATATAAACGAGCAACATATCGTGCACTGCATTCTCATCTCACATATTATTAATTTTCGAACTTCATTTTCTTTCTATAGTCATGATAGATTTGTAGAAGTAAATTCGGTCTACAAGCAGTAAACAGTGAGTACAAGTCATGAGACAGACTGTCCACGTGGACTAAGGTCCTATTATAGAAAATTAAATAAGTGGAAAGATAATTATTTTATTCACGCATGAAACAGTAGATTATAGTATGAAAATAGAATAATGGACTACTGACCACTAAAGAATGTGATGAAATTGTACTATATCCTTCCTATAAGATTTTTATCAGAATCTTATGAATTCTTACCAAAATCTTATGAATTCTTATAAAATAATTATATAATCTATCTTACCGAATTCTTATCAGAATCTTACAAGAATCTTATAAAAATCTGATAAGAATAATGTACGAGTTTTGCTGATTCTTATCAATTTCTTATGAATTCTTGTGAAATTCTTATGAGATTCAGCAAAATTCTTGTCACTTTCGTGGAAGATCTTATATAAGAATTGAGTAAGATTCTTATAAGATTCTTGTAAGATTCTTATATAAGAACCGATGACTAGGGGTAATGCAGTCGTTTTTGTCTTGGAAAATGGTACTTTACAGAATATTTTCTCCAACAACGATATAAAGAAATGAGACCAGGAAGAAAGATTCATAATGAGTTTTGAATCAAAGTTTTCACTTTTCAAAATTAAGAATTTCACAGATATACTCCGAACGTTTTCATTACAGTATGGTGAGCATTTGTCCCTTTATGGGCATGTACTTTCCGATCTTACACTTCCGTAAAATACTTATTCCTACTGATAAGTTCCTTCGATCCAGCTTGCGTCTACATCCTGTCTAATTTGTTTTGAAAGTATGTTGCAGTTTTGAAAAGAGTGATTTTTCTCAGTCAAACAGTCTAAATGAGCTTTTCTATTCCGAAATTCCTCAGATATCTTATTTTGTACAATGGACACGAAACAGACGTGATTTTTAAAGACTCATCTTTGCCTGAATCCAGCGATTTTGAGTGATAATTCTGCTTTGAATACCACTGGTACTTATCAAGAGTATGAAGGGCTATATCAATAAAAGTTAGTGCAAAATTAAAAGAACTTTGAATAAAATCAATAACGTACCGTTGAATTGCATCCCATATCATAAGTCGTAACTGACGTCTATGTCATATCATTAACTCTTTATGATATTCACATTTTATTGCACACAATTATATTGATTGAAATACAGGTCAACTTAAGCAAAAAATGTTCCAAAAAAGAAATTTTAAATAATCATTTACAAAACAAAAAATCCACGAATCGACAAAAATATTTAAAACAGATACGCAAGCGAATTCAGCACGTTTTAATTAATACCACCACCACGACGAACTTCCAGAAGCAAAGAAAGAAATCTCAGTTTTGAATTCTTTTTTTTCCGGCGTAATACTCACTTACAAATATTCTTTGTAGTTCTTTCTTTTTTTCTTTCTGAAGGATAATTTGTTGTTCATATTTTTCACACAGCTTTTCTTTCTTCTGATTCAATCGTTTTAGTTTCTGTTTTGCATCCTTTAGTTCTTCTCGTATTGGTCGCATAGCCATTTCGAATTCTTCTTTCAAATTTTGGGTCAATTGTTCATATCTTTGTTCTATAGCTCGCAATGAATCTTCAACATCAGCCTACATAGAAGAAGTAATACATTAAAATGGATCTTCTAAGACACTTGTAGTAGGCAACGGGCTAAAATAATATTCAGGAATAAAAAAGACATTCTGAGCTCTTGGGAGGTAAAATCTGTTTGATAGAATAGATCGATACCTTTGAGATTTTAGTTGCCATATTCTTGTCAGATAAATTATCCGAATTTTATTTTAATGTTTTTACTCGTTTTAGAATATTTCGCAAATTAATATATTTCGCAAATATATATATATATAAATATGTGTGTATTCTATCAATGACTATCCAGTGGCATGTTTTTTTTTGTGAGGCTTACAGTTTTGGCCTATCTTATCAATTGTATAATAGGATAGATATCGGACATGTAATTTCAGTCTGAGCTCTTTCATTAATCGTTGCTCCAGGTTATACATATAGAGATGAATAATGAGAAAGTGAGTATGGAATAAGTGATAACAGTGAAAGAAAAAAGAAATGCGTATCGAGAAAATAAGAAAAAACAAAATATGAATATCCGAAAGAAAAATTAAAGAAGAAGTGATTCAGTTATTAGTACATATTTTATTGTGTTTTTGTTTTGTTTTCGAACTTGTATCGTTTCGTGTGTCGAATTAAGGGTGCAATGTGAACAGAAATGAGTGATGTGGCTACAACCCGTTGGACATTAGTTATTCGTTTATTACATGATCACTAATAGAAAACATGGTTACTATCACATTCTTTTTGAAACATTCAAACTAGCTGGAGCCATATTAAACTTTTAGTACGTCAAAAATTTTATTTAATGACCTCTTAGAATTTAGTAAAGAAGAAATCAAAGTAGTTTTCATTGAATGTAGACGAATTGTTCCTAAATAAAAATGCTTTTCAACGTTTAAACTTTCTTTCGTCATGCGTATATATTGAAAAATCTGCCGATAATAATAACGAAAGAAAATCAACAAAAGAACCCAGTAAAAATTACGTTCTCAAACAATACAAATCGAAGTAATTTTATCAAGACGGGATTACGAGTATCAGCATTACGGCGGAATCGGCTGCAATTCGAGTAAACCCATGTCGATGTTTCAAATGTCAGCAGTTTAGCAATGGCTCGCGACCATGCAAAAATCAGAAAAATGGGTGGAAAACTCGACGAATTTAAGGGGGGGGGGCCCCATTTAGATTTTCCTCTAACGTTTCCAGTTTGTAGAGGATACTTCGAAATATATGTTCTGAAGTTTTATCGGCTTACTGACATTGTTTGGCTGACAAAAAAGTTAATTACTGAAAAAAAGATTGGTAAGTTTTTGAACAAGGGACTATTATTAAAAGAATTCCTGTCCATTCTCGATTAATCATAGAAACTTGGTTCTTGCCTAGATCAATAGAGAAATGTGTGGAAAATATTTTCTACAAGAAAATATGTAAAAATGTTTTTTCTTTCCTTCCTGTTATTGACTAATTGGCACTAATTAACGTTAATGTGGCCTACTCGACTAGCTTAGAGTCCCCTTTGCAAAATAAGGACTCGACAAGAGAATTTAAGCAGTATCTCGCTTGATAGAGAATTTCGCGGGCTACAAGACTGGCTAGCTTAAAAGTTTTAAAATTCAATTCAATCATTATAATTTTGTTATAACAACCCTATGCTCAAAAATTTAACAACATTTTGTAAAGTAGTTAATTTTTTTCTCAGCCACACAATGTCAGCAAGTCGATAAAACTTCAGGACATATACTTCAGAATATTCTCTACAAACTGAGAAGGTTCGAAGAAAAAATTGAAAACTTGAAAATATCGCTGGCTTTTGGCTTAGCCAAGATTTCTTCACCTTATCTTACGGCTAGTTTCGCTCGAAGGAAGCATTTCGAAGCAAAACTCTCGATACAAAATTTGTTCAGAATCGAATTCCGGAGTCCCTAACGAGAGTTTTCTTTAAAATTTTCTTTTTAGGGTTTTTAAATTAAATTTTACGGTTTAAATTTTAAAATTTCGTATTTTGTAATTTAAAAACCCTAAAACGAAAACTTTAAAAAAATCTTCCGTTAGGGACTCAGGAACAACTTTGGTATCCAGAGTTTTGCTTCAAAATGCTTCGTTCGAGCGAAACTAGCCGTAAGGCTTTTTTCAAAATGCTTGTAGCTCTAAAATCTCCTCGGGAAGGTGAAAGTTAAATTTCTGCGTCAAACTTCATTTGGGAACGATGAAAAGTTTTTCTCTTTATACAAGTTTACAATGTTCTCTTTATCGAACTACGCTAGAATCAACTCTTCATATCAAAAACTAAAGTTTTTATTGAAATTTTAAAAATAGGGCAAGAACTCCGAAAAAAACTTCAAAATTTTTTTATCAAAAACCACAAATCGAGAATTGTCCGAAGTGTCCTCTACAAACTGATGAAGAAAATCGGTGGGGAGGACACCTCCTTAAGTTCATGAATGTGGAAAAAGCTATAGCAACTATTCAAACTATAGGAATTACAGAGTGAATCGTGAAAACTTCTAATTTGTGTTGGGAAAGCATTCATCACCGTTTCAGCTTCCTTTTCACGTCTTCATCGATTTTATTTGAGAAATGGGATTTGATCATCATATGCTTGAAAAATATAACAAGGTAAAATACGCGTTCGTGACACCTAAGATTGAATTTGATACGACGTGCATTCATCGTCCAATAAAATAGATTTCATTTTGAATATTTCAAATAATTCTTTATTCGATCAGAAATCCTTAGAAGAAATGTTAGAAATTGATCGACCGCATTAAAAGACATACTCTCTTCGCTGTAACAATTGTTGTGTATCTTTGTTTTAATCCTTCCCCAAAACTAACCGCATTCCATTGACCCGGAGTAGTTTAACGACGAGAGAGTATAGTGATGGAATTATCTTTGATCATTCGATTGAATACTGACTGCCACGAATTCTTTCTGACTAATTTGCAATGTTCAATAGAAAATCGAATGATGTCGCCGTGTCTGCATAGAATAGATAACACTAAAGTAAATAGTATCCATCTATTAGTAATCAAGAATTCAGTTTGCCGTCAGCAGTTTATATGCGAGCCGAAAGACGATCAGATACTGTTGCTGACAAGAAAGAAGTTAGAAAGAGTCTAAGTTCTGACATCTCTACAAAAGCAACTATACCCGGGTTTATTTGGTGTTAGTATGACAATGGAAAAATCAACAAACTTCGACGATAGCCAAGATTGGAAAAATGATCTAAAATATAATATATGCATTATTGATGGTTTTACATTCGACATAAATAAATTAAAATTTATTTCTCATAATGATGAGGAACAAATGCTAAAATTTGCTTCAGACGAGCTACATCGACATGAATTTCACGAAGCATGTTGTACTAATAATATTGATAAAGTACGTAGTTTTTTAAAACGGATGAAAGTTGATGATATTAATCGCGTGGCATTCGATGGTGAAACAGTTCTTCATATAGCATCCGTTCATAGATATGATGAACTTGTTAACTTATTACTAAACTATGGAGCTTTTCGTTCCGTCAGAAATCAAAACAATTGTACGCCATGTACAATAGCAAACTATAATACAACAAAGAAATTATTTGAACGAGCTCCAGAAAAAAATCAGGTCCAACATCAACGTTTTTACAATTATGATATTGATTAGGTATTGGGAGATTCGAACATTGTTAATATTTCTTGGACACTACGTTACAAATTAGCGAAATATTATAAATTCTGCTTTCCGGTCAGCGATATACTGCTCAAAATAGAAAAAGAATATTTATATTTTCATGCAATTCAGCACGGTTTATCATGCAAAAATTGATGCAAGACCATAAACTTTTGAGAGGAGTGCATAGTTTTGATTAATTACAGTTGTGATTTGATTAATCGCTAATCTTTTCGCCTCAGTTATGCACTGGGTCAATTTCATTTTCAAGTGAGATATTTCATCCGTCCATGCGTTTCGGATACGTATTATATCTGTGTTGTCGTCTCGGATATGTGACCAAAGTTGAATATCAAATACTTTCAACGACGGTGCTGGTGCTGATACTACTGGAAACTTTAATTCATTGCACAACTGATGAAGTCAATTGCAATAAGAATTCGTTTAGTTGTAGATGCTGATAATATAGTAACGACGGGTTTTTTCCTTGATACAACGCTTTGTTGATTGACTGGAGCATTTGTGCTAATATTGCAAATATTTTAATAATGTGCGTATGTTTGCGGTTGATTGGATTTGTTTGATAAAGGGTTGGGTAGATTTTGTTAACTCTTCTGCCTTTGCTCTAACTTCGGTCGTTAAGGCAAATTGCAATGTACTATGAAACTGGTTTTATTCAAGTTTCTACCTACCAACGGTTTTGAACCGATGCAATTTTTCAAATCCTGCTCAGCCCAAAAGAATTGATTCTCAAAAAACGGAATGATAATGGTTGTTTTCCGAATATGAGTCCTGTCGAATATGAGCAGTGGTTCCCGCACCACCATGATGGCAAACGGCTCGAACTTGAGGAAATAGCCAATCGTGCGGACACAGGAAATAATCTTGAACAGAAACTCTCAACTGTGGATTTGCCGCAACCACTAAGTAGTGAACTACTCTTACTTAAGATTCGCTTCTCAAAGGAACATTATTTTATAGCCTACGAAAGTGTTATTGAATATATTCTTTCAACTGAAAGGTTTACAATGTAAAAATTTGGTCTGCATCTCTTAGCACACTTGATCCTCTTCTTTCTTTCTTCTGTCATTTGTTTATTCCCTTTGTCTTTTCCTTTGTTTTTTATTATGTATTTGGATCCTTTTCTACTTTCCTTCCTATTTTTTTTATTGGCTAGCAGGACAATAATACTGCGGCTCTGCTCTCTTTTGACCTGTCTTAGTTATAACTACTTATTTTATTAATAAATAAAGTTTAAAGAAAAAAAAACTCTTTATAGTTTTCATTTTTTGCATACTGTCGATCGATGCTTCGCAATAATAAATCGTACATTTTAATCTTCATAACAGTTGACTTGATTTGATTATGATGAAGGAAATGAACTGACAACAATTAACTTATTCTGTTTCGTATCATCTCTGTGTTTAGTAGTTGAAACAGGGGCGGATCCAGCCCGCGAGCGGCACCTTTTTCTTCTCCAGTATTCTTTGTAGTTGTGATGTTCAGGATTTAACTGATCAATTGAATCGAGTAATATGAACAGTTTTTCATCTTTTGATACAAAAGTAAGCAGATGTTCGAGCTGATCGCGTAGTTCAGTCGGATCAAAGGAGATTTCTGGAACAAAGTCTAAATCGTATATTTTAATTATTTGTTGTGTAATGTTAAGAAGTGGTTTGGCAACGTCTGAAGATGAGGGAGTTGTACGAAGGAAGCGAATAATAACTGAAGTAGTGTGTAAGGCCGATGATGAAGTCCATTCTGGAATCTATATTAAAGAGAGGATGTCTGTGATGGAAATGGTTCCATACGCAAAGCCTCAATCAATATTGTGAAATCCAGCCCAAAACACTCCATTTTACTCTATTCTCTGTTCCTGTTGGCGCACACTTGAGTAAAAAGTATTGCAATTATCCATGTGGATCACGGATAAAGAAGAAAAAGTATTTGTCGAGATAAACGTATAGAAAAACTACCACCCCTTGAGAACATGGATGAAAGAACTCGAAAACTTGAGGACTTTTAGAACAATGGTGTTGAATCGTGTTACCGATGGCTAATTTACATGTAGTGACACATCGTCAGTATAGAAATAATCATCAATATCATAAAACAATTCCTGTCTATCAACCGCATAGATAATGTAGATCAGCGCAGACCCTTGAAAAAGATCCCGTTCAAGAGAAAAAACTACAGATTCGAAATTTTGAAAGGAAACATCTCTAAGCTTTACATGAAGTGTTCTTACGGAAATATTTCAATTTTATCAAACTAAGATGTTTCTCCTAGGCTCTAACACACTTAAGAGCTGGTGAGGCTTCTATCTCCGTAAGAAAACTTCATGTAAAGCACAGAGGTGTCTCATTGGGAAGAGGATTATTTAGTCTATGTTGTCGACCGTTAGAAGAAGAATTTCAAATATTTGATTTTCCTCAGAACCGATTTGCAGGATCTCATGAAGTTGAAATAGGTGAACTTTGTAAGATGAAACATTAGTAGTACTAAACAGAATGCCTTCAGAAACACACTACTTCAGTTATTATTCGCTTCCTTGGTACAACTCCCTCATCTTCAGACGTTGCCAAACCACTTCTTAACATTATACAACAAATAATTAAAATATACGATTTAGACTTTGTTCCAGAAATCTCCTTTGATCCGACTGAACTACGCGATCAGCTCGAACATCTGCTTACTTTTGCATCAAAAGATGAAAAACTGTTCATATTACTCGATTCAATTGATCAGTTAAATGTTGAACATCACAACTGTTCTAAATGGCTTCCACTTACTTATCCGGCAAATATTACATTTATATTTCTACAATATCTAAAGTGCCTATAAATACTGAAGAAAATCACGACATTTTAGCCGATCTGAAAAAGCATTTAAGTGAAGGTGATAATCAAACCACATTCGTTGAAATAACACGTTTTGATGAAACACTTGCTGTAGATATATTAAATTCATGGCTTACTAGAGATAAACGTAAGTTAACCAAAATTCAACGCAACGGTTGGTTAAAGCCACAAATGTTAAAGTGTGATACACCACTATTTCTGTCATTAATCTACGATCAAACATTAACATGGCATTCATACGACAGAACTATTTCAAAAGATTTTCGTTCTATTGTACGTACTGAAGATGCAGTACGATACCTTTTTTGTCAGTTATCACAACGACATGGTACTGTGTTATTTCAATCTTCAATGAAATATATTAGATTAATCGGTGGTTTAACAGAAAACGAATTGGAAGATATATTAAGTTTAGATGATGATGTTCTGAAATCAGTATTTGTTCATTATTTACCATCTTTACTAATTTTTCGATTACCCGGCACACTGTGGATTCGAATTAAAAATGATATGAAAAAATATTTAGTTGAGAGGGAAATTGATGGGTTAACATGTATTTATTTGTAAGTGAACACTCTCGTTTTATACGCACATTTAAGCGCTTCACTTATGCAGTGCTTTATGAACTATTTATATCTTTGTCTTGTTGTTTAGCTATCATCGTAGCTTCCAAGATTATGAATTTAAGAATGATCGCATTTTTAGTAACTTAGACAGATATCGTCTTGAATATTTTTCTGATAAATATCAGCAGCCCACACTTAAAGAGTATCAGGTTGATGATAAACTCAAAGAGAAATATCGTTATTCATCAAGTCTAGTTCAGACAAATCGTTGTTTAAGTGTAATGCAACCTATAAAAATGAAAACTATAAAATATAATTTAAGAAGAATTAAGCAATTATTAAAAGATCCATCGAATGCATCGGAATATACGCTTTGTGATTATGAATTCATGGTTGCATATTTATATATATGCATATATATATATTTAATTTATGAATTTAAAGTTAATTCCTTATTAAATAAATGGTCAAGAATAAGGAAATTTAATAATTTCGACTTAGCAAGTTTTATATTAAGTTTGTATGAGTCAGTTTATCCGATACTCGACCAATATCCGTCAAACCTTGCATATGAATTATCTAGTAGACGGGCATCACTTATCCATTATTCTACTACTCATCATCATTTGCCTATTCTAAGAACACTTTACGCACAATGTACAGAAAATTGTATTTTGCAAAATGTATTAAATCATCCGCAGTCACAACCGTTACTTACACAGCAATTTGATATGATTCATCACATAATTATCTCTGACAATTATTTTTATATTTTAACTGATACTCAATTATTAAAAACATCAATAGATCGTTATACAGCTGATTCTGGATGGCAACTTAATTTATCATTAAAAAATACATATAAATCATTCGCATATAGAAGTGAGCGGCGATGTTCATATATTTGCTTATATTCGTCCTATAGAATTTTAATCTTTCGTATCAAAAATGATCTATCTTTTGCATCAGAACAACCGGAAATTTACTTTGAAATGAATATTAGCAATAGTGGAATAAATGAGTAAGATGCACCCAGGGCAGCCTTGCAGTGAAATTTATTTTTCGACACTTCATACACCATTCGATAGAGAATTTCGCGGTGATCACGAATATCACTTCCAAGGC